GGGCGCCTGGGTGTGGCTCAGTCTTTAAGCCTCTGCCTTCGGCTCAGGTCATGATCCCAGGGTCCTGGGATTAAGCCCCACGTCGGGCTCCCTGCTCCGCGGGAAGCCTGCTTCTCCTTCTCCCATTCCCCCTGCTTGTGTTCCCTCTCTCGCTGTGTCTCTCCCTGTCAAATAAATTAAAAAAAAACTAAAAACTAAAAACAACCAAACCATTATCATGAACACTAAGATATCAAAAAAAAGAGAAAAAACCCACTAACATATAACAAATAGGAAATAAACTACACTAGTAACAGGTTTTTTTTTTTTTAGATTTTTATTTGTCAGAGAGCATAAGCAGGGGGAGCGGCAGGCAGAGGGAGAAGCAGACTCCCCACTGAGCAAGGAGCCCAATGCTGGACTCAATCCCAGGACCCCAGGATCATGACCTGAGCCGAAGGCAGACACTTAACTGACTGAGCCACCCAGGCATCCCACTAGTAACACTCTTAACAGGATGGATGGTCTGCACGTGGACCAGAAAAAGGTTATTTTTTGTTTGTTTTGATTTAAACAAAATCATATAGAGCACTATTTTTCCTAGAGTGGTGAAACATCTGTTGAGATCAGAGAGTGAGCTTTGCTTGAAAAAATTAAAGAGGAAAGGTCATTATGAGAGATTTTGAACAATGCAAGTTGCTACGTAAACCCAAGACTGTCCAGCATGTGTGCGTCTGTGTGTGGCATGTATGGGGGTGGAGAGGAGTGTACCTGGGAAATGCCTAGATAACACACTGGCTGTAAGATGGAGATAATGTCCAGTAGTTGGAATCAGGTCACTCAACTTTTTTCTGAAACTGGAGAGAAGGATCTACAGAGTCTGATACAACCCAAAACCTCCAGGGATGATGGCCTTTCTAAGGCTGTTCAGATAGCTCCAGAGCTTCCTTAGGGAGAGATCTCAACTTCCCTAGAGGTCTAGAGAACACCTTAAAATGATTCTTCCATCCTGAAAGCCACTTAATCTGAAAAGGGCTTTATGGGGTGCTTGTGAGCATCTCAATGTCTGGAGACCCATAAATGTGCCTGCCACAGCTCTAGAGGCTGGGGATGCCCAGGGGACCAGCACTGCAGGGGGGAGAGATGATGTTAGTAAGTTAAAGATCGTCTCATTAACACAGCCAAACTGTCCCTGGGTATGTGGGATCTAGCCCTCACCATGATTGAAACTGAAAGCTAGACCATAGCAAACACTCCGGGAAGTGAAATACTCCCAATAGATGTTTCTGGAGTCCAGTCTTGGATGAAATCAGTCCAAGCAACATTCACCACTGCACTACTTAATGCGGGGGCTGGGGTGGAATGGTAATTAATAAAACAGACCCAATTTAGAATCTTTCTAAGCCTCCAGGAAATGTTATTAATACCCAGATATTAAACTATTCCATCACTGGGATGCCTGGGTGGCTCAGTTGGTTAAGCATCTGCCTTCGGCTCAGGTCATGATCCCGGGGTCCTGGGATCGAGCCCTGCATCAGGCTCCCTGCCCGATGAGTCTGTTTCTCCCTTTCCCTCAAACCCTCCCCCCTGGTTGTGCTCTCCCTTTGTCTCTCTCTTTCTCTGACAAATAAAATCTTTAAAAATAAACTGTTCCATCATTTCTAAGAGCCCTTTCATCCAAGACTGGAAGAAAGTGAATGATGGTTTAGTTTTACCTTGGTAACTCGTTCGAAGAGATACGGCCTCGTCTGTATTCTCTTCTTCATTTCTTCCAATTCTTTCTTATACTCTTTTGCTCTTTTACGGTCATTGTTCCTGGAATTAACAAGATTTTTAGAATGAATTCTCTTTTTCCAATCTGAAATACCCTTCACTCCAATTAAGCAGAGTAATTCCCAAGGACATTGTAAATTCCTAACTATGCCTAGCAAAATCCTTGACTGTGTGCAGTTATAGGAGTCTACTCTAATGACTCCATTTTGCTGTTGTTTAAGGCCAGTGATCTGTTGGATCCCAAGACAGGCACACCCTTTGACACATGGAGGACACTGACCGATTCTCTTTCAGCTTTGCTTTGAACACCTCCTCCAGGCTTTGATGGGGATCCATGGCTTTCGCACGCAAGGTCACGGATTTAGACATCGCTTGACACTTCTTTTTGTGCATCTCCAACCACTGAGTACTCTCATCTGCTTTGTCCTTTTTTTCAAGTGAACTTCTAAGGAGAGGAGGCAAAAACCATACAGATGACCAACTTGAGTGTATTTAAAAGCAATCTTAGTAACCTCTCTGGAAAGTAAAATGGTGTTTTCTATGAAGGGAGTGATTTACCACACTGGCATTTCAGAAAGAATAGGTTTCTGAGATTGGCAGAACAAGCCTTCCCAGCACTATGGACACGGTGATTTTCTGCTCCAGAAGTTCATTAATTGAACTGAAAAACATATGAGTTCAAATATCCTTACACTCAGGCTTCTGGCCTGTCTGGAAACAAAATGATTCTAAGAGCTGCCATTTGCTGAGCTACCTACTCTGAACCAAGAGCAGAAAGGAATCAAGTGCTTTATATCCATTATCTTCATAACTGCCCTATGAGGTAAGAACTGTAAGCCCCTCTTTTTATAAGCAAGGAGATTGAGGTTCAGAGACGGTACGCCACTGATTCAAAGCCACCCAGCATGCCCTTGGAAAAGCCAAGATTTGAACCAGATTGTCTGACTCCCAAGCCTCTGCCCTTGACCACTGTGCTGTAAAGGGTGGGCTGGAAGGTACCTGGGGTCATGGTCCCTTGGGAATACAAATCTGCATTTTCACAGAAAACTGAAAAAAGGCCTCTTTCCATGCACAGTTTGGGGTTAACAGCACCTAGTTTGTCTAAGCATCATTTGACAAGGTACTGTGGAGAGTTCTACCAAAAGAAACAACAGTCAAGACTCTTGCATTTGGGGTGCCTGGGTGGCTCAGGTCGTTAAGCGACTGCCCTTGTTCGGCTCAGGTCACCATCCTGGAGTCCCAGGATTGAGTCCTGCATTGGTCTCCTGCTCAGTGGGGAGTCTGCTTCTCCCTCTGACCCTCCCCCTTCTCATGCTCGCTCTCTCATTCTCTCTCAAATAAATAAATACAATTTTAAAAATAAAAAAGGTGTATTTTTTAAAAAAAAGACCCTTGCATTTGGATTATTTACATTCAAATGAACAGATTAGGAAGGAAGGCATGAAAGCTGAGTCTGCTATTATATCAAACTCCCTGTTGCTGGGAAGCAGATATGGACATCCCCTAGAGGCACCAGCCTCTGGTTCCTAAGGCTTACCTTACTGGGGCCTCAAGATACTGATGCATTTAGCCTTCATTTAGTCGCTCTAAGACATCTAAAGAAGGGAGTATCCCTTGGATTCTAAATACATTTCTAAGATCCCCATGGTGGGGTCCTCAAGAGCCAAGTAGGTCCTGTGTACTCCTCTGTGAGCCCCACAGGAAAGCACTAAGATGCTAGTCCTCTCCCAGAGTTCAGCTGCTTGTATTACCACGACCTTTCCTGCTGACTTCAGCTCAGAGGTCTAGTGGAGGAGCTCTTGCTGGGGTGCTGGTTTGATGACAGCAGTACCATGACAGAGTCAGGTCAGTTAAAGAATTAAAAAGTAAGGAGGCTCCTGCTTCCCAACCAACTTCTGAGAGTTCCCCAAAGATGAATCTCAGAGAATCTCAAATCTGTGTTGTGGACGCCTTCTTTTTGTGACTGGGTCCGCCACCTGCCCCCATGTGCCTCTGCATTCCTGTTCCTAATGGCTCCCTCTTTCGTCTGTGGGTCTTCCCCCATGTTGTTCTCTCTGGAACCTTCTTTCTTTACAGCCTTTGGCTAATTCCTCATTCTTCAGAGATCTATTAAAGAGACCCCTGCCCCAGGCTGTCCAGTGCCCCCAAGTTTCCCTGTATTCCCCCACCACTGCACTTCTTGCAAAATACGGTAATTTCTTTGTTTTTCTGTATTTCATACTAGATAATAAACTAGAGGTTCCATAAGGTATCTCCAGCCTTGCCATTTGACTGGCACAGAGTTGACAATCTGCTGAGCGATGGCCAGGTGTTCTCCAGCACTACCTGTGGAGGGTTACGTGTATTCCCGTCCAGCTCAGAGAGTTCCCTTCCACCCCTATACGTCTCTCTAATAACCGAAGAGGAGGCCCAGCAGCAGGACGGTTTCTAGCATCGGGATCAAGACCCGGGTGCTGACCACTGATCTCGATCCTGGGCCAAGATCTCGAGCCCGACCACTCACCTGACTGCAGATTCCCTCTTCCTGGTGACGTCCGTGATGTGCACAGGGAGGGTGTGGGCAGAGAGGGAAGCAAGGCCACTCAGAGAACGACTCCTTGGCAGGGGTGTGGCTGGCAGCTGTGGAGAGTCCTGGAAGAAACAAAGGTTGGTATTGATGGGACAGCAATGTGTGACTAGTTTCTATTCTAACTAGGATTCAATTTCAGTGAAGGACTAGTCAGACCAAGAATCTTTTTTTTTTCCCCCTGGGATTAGAGAAAGAGTCATGAGTTTATTACCAGGCCTAAAGTTGGATATCAATCCTAAAGTTTTAAAATCAGATGAGAAGAGTTCTTTAGAATTGATATAGGGACGTGAGCAATTGGTCCCAACTTCCTACGTTCTAGACTTGCTTGGATTTATTTCTGCAAATTTCCTCTAGAAAAGTTCCCTCTAGGAAGGCAAGGAAAGGAAGTATTCTTATGGTTGTAAGTTTATAGGAATTGTGGCGTTTACAACTGAGCCAGTGTTGTTTTAACTTTTTAAAATTTAAATTCAATTGATTCACATATAATGTATTACTAGTTTCAGAGATAGAGGTCAGTGATTCATCATCAGTCTTCTACAATGAGCCAGTGTTTTTTTTTTTTAAAAAAAGATAGGAAAATGTCAGGAGAAGTGCCTCCCATTGAGACGGGCCGGTCCGCTGGGCCCCGGGCCCCGCCCCTCCGGCACCTGCCCGGGCTCTCACCCTCCTCCCTCCAGACGTGGCGGCATCACTGGGCCGCTGAGCGCGCCGCAGGCTGCTGGTTCTCAGCAAGAAGGGCTTGTTGCGAGTCACCTCCCTGGCGTCCCTTCTCTTGGCAGCTCTTCTCTGGAAGGCTCTGTAAAGGCCTTCGTAGTCAGGGACGGCAGGATTCACCCGAGGCTGGAATCCAAAGTCAGGGTGCAGAAATGCAAGCTTTTCCTTCTGGGTTCGGGTAGCTGTGCGAGGCTGTGGGTCAGGTCGGCTGCCGGAGAAGGCGATAGGGGAGGAGGCCTTCTGGAGCATGTCTAGGGCTCGCATCTGGATGCGAATTTTCCTGAAGAGTTCTGCTTCTGTGGAGAAAAAGTCAGGGAGGTGAGGGAGAGAGGGGACCCTGCCGCATCCCTAAAGGTTTGGAGAATGTTCCCTCAAACACTAGCAGTAGTGTGCCGGAGCTGACCGACAGCTTTGTGGGAATTTCGGGCACCAGCCGACATCATGTGGGAAGCTCGGCATTGGCCAGGAGAAGTGTACTTAGACCACAGAAAATGGCAAACACTACAGATCAGCTTGCTTTGTCTTTTCTGGAGAGTTCGTTCATAAACACTGGCCAGGACACGGCGGCCAGGTGCCACTAGGCTGTGAGGCAGCCACCATGGATACCGACTGAGCGCTCTCTGTGGTTCCTTCTTCCAAGGCGGAGCTGGAGGGGCAGGCCGGTCATCCCTCCTCTCTCAGGTCCCCCCCCCCCCCGCCACCGGCTCAGGGCAAGTCCCCACCATCCACCCAGAGGCTCACGCTGTTGCCCAAATCATTCTTGCCTGCCTTCCCTGGTCAGCCCCAAGTTCTGCGGTCTCTGCTCTTTAAGCGTGCTCCAGTCTGGCCTCTCCTCACCGTCCCTGCTGCTAATTTCACCATCTCTCCACTGAACTGCTGACGCAGTGGCCTACAGACCAACATCCCTCCAGGCCCGGCCCTCCCCGCCTCAAGGATCTTCCTGAGCCGCAGATCTGATCCGGAGCCACCCGACTTAGAGCCCTTCAGGGGCCCCCCCCAGTGCCCTTGGATGAAGTCCAAATTTCCTCCCACGGCTACAAGCCCCCAGGTGTGGCCCGGCCTGCCTCTCCCTCCCCATTCCCTCTTCTCTCCTGCCCCTTGTTCCTTGAATGTGCTCAGCGTCCTCTGACCTCCGCGCTGTTCTCTGGCTCACTCTTCCTCCCTCTTCCCATCCTTCAGGGTCCGCCTCAGCGCTCACTTCCCCCAGGGCCTTTCCCTATCTGCTCCGGCCGCTCACCACATGCGAAGCTAGGTCCCTCTGTCCTGTGCTCTGTGAGGGGCAAGCCTTTCATCCTTGCAAACCCCTCAAATCGGTAGCTTTGTTATCTAGTACCTGTCTTCCTCCCGCGTCCACCAACTCCATGTCTGTCTATCCCAGACAGGGCTGGGCACCTTACGGAACAGTAAAGCCCGAGTCCTTTCCCCGAACCCCATTTCTTGGAATGTGCATCTCACCAGGATGAGGGAGGGGTGGGAGCTGGCCTCAGGGCCAGCTGGTGGCGGCACTGGCCTAGGCCGGCCCTTGGGTGTGTCTCTCTGGCTCTCCGTTCTTGTACCTGAGCGGCTGCCCGCGCGCTCGCCGCCTCACTGGCAGGGCTCACAGGACCAAGCTGGGGAATGCTGTGCCACCTCGCATGGCCCGCTCCTGCCAGGGCTCCCCGCGACACAGACAGAGCCAGCCCTACCCCGTGGCCTGCCCTGAGCGTGGCCCGGAGGCCGGTCCTCCCGAGCAATGAATTTATCTCTCAGCCAGGCTGACCCCCGAGCCTATGTCCCCACAGCACCTCTTGGTAGCCCCCAGGCAGCAGGCAGCAAGGTGAGGGCGGGGGGAGGGGGGCGGGGGGGGGTCTTTACCCTGGAGTTTGTCCCCGAGGGCTGGCTCCAGAATGGACTTGGGGATCCTTCTGGTGGCCCTCTGCTTGGGGGCCTTGGCCTTGGCTGTGGCGGCCAACTCCCTCTGTTTAGCAGCTTCCTTTCTCTGTTCCTCCTTCACTAGGAAGCTGAAGGGCTTCAAGGAGGAGAGGAGCAGTTCCTTCCTCTTCTGGATCCCTGCCTGCCTGCGGGCCTCGTTGCGCTCCGTGATCTCCTGGTAGAGGGGCAAGTAGACGTGCGCGGGCACGGGCTGTGCCCGGAACTGCCGGTGGCACTCGGCCTCCTCCTGACCCTGCTGCTGGGCCTGCTTCCTCTCCCGCTCGAAGGAGGCAGGGGAGGCCAGCCACTGGGCCTTCTTCTGGGCCTCACGCAGCGTCATGCGGAACGGCCGAGGGACGGTGATGGATGATGCCCAGGAGCTGAGGCTTCTGTGCTGCGAGGGAGGCCTGGAGCCTGAGGGTGGCGGGGGCTGACCCTTGGGGTCGTCGGACGGAAGGCTGCTCAGCGAGCTGCAGCGCCTTGTGGAGCCACACCTGGGGGGAGAAAGCAGCTGCGTGGAGGACACGTGGAGGACACAGCAGGCTGGAGGCTGGCTCCTCCTCCGGCTCCTCCCCAGTCCTCCCTCCCAGGAGGTGGCAGCTGGCTTCTCAGCCTAGCATCACCCCACAGGCCTCTGAGCCTGTGCCTCTCTCAACTGGGCCTCCCTCCTTTCCGACCTCAGGCCATCTAGCAGCCCATTAGGAAGTCTTTTCTCAGAACTGATTCAAGAATTGCCACTTTGTATTCTAGTATTTTCTGGGTTTTTTTCTTTAAAGATTTTATTTTTTTAAAGTAATCTCCACACCCATCCCGGGGCTCGAAGTCACAGCCCAGAGATCAAGAGTTGCACACTCCACTGACTGAGCCAGCCAGGCGCCCTGCATTCTAGTATTTTCATATGGGCGGGAGAACAGTGCAATGGTACCCAGCAGGGCTTTAGAGTCGGACCCAGGTTCAAATCTTGCTTCAGACAATTACCAGCCGTGTGACCTTTAGCAGGGTTTGCTTGGAACCTCGATTTCCTCATCTGGAGAATGGCAAAAATAACATCTACTTACAGGGTTAGTGGGAAGAGAAAATAAATATTAAATATCATATAAATGTAGCGCACATGCATATAACAGGGCTTGGCTAAGGTAAATGTACCTTGTTGCCATTCTCAGGGAGGGAGTGAGAAAGGCATCCCTTTAATCAATTCCAGTGCTTCCAGTGACTAAGGGTAACCCAAAGTGATTTAGGACGGCCGGGTAGGAACCAGAACATGTTTGGCTCCAAAGGCTGATTCTGAGCTGGAGTCTGGGTAAGGGACAACTTGCAGAAGCGGTCTTTGCTTTACTGGGAAGAGGATGAGGCCCAGAGTCATGATGTGACTTGGCCAGAGTTGTGCATGAAGCAGCTGGGGAACTGCAGTGCCTTACCTTGGAGACACGGGGTACTGGACCTGTGGCTTCCCCCTGCCTTCGTCTTGGAAGAAACTCTCCAGGTCCTCCTCATCTTCGGAGAAATTCTCACCACTGTCTGGGTCAGACTCATAAAGGGATTCCAACAGGCACCACTTGCCTTTCTGCTTTAGTACCTCCAGGGTCTCGTAAAAGCTCCCAGTTGAGTCAGAAGAATCAGAAAGCGTCAAGTCCTCTGGGCCAAGGAAGTCATCCAGTTTGCCAGCCCTGGGCAAAACCAGCCCATCCCCAGACAACTCCTCTTCTGTCTCCGAGTCTGAGGAGGACTTGGGGGGAAATACCTAGAGTGAAATAGAATAAACGGGTCAACTATCACTTCAAATTTACTCAAAACATTAACCATTAATTTCACTTTGAATAAGTCTCTGCATTAGGGACTGGGAAGGAAGAAAAATGTGTTCCTTACTTTAAAGAAATTTCACAAATTGGTATATGGGGTGCGCTTGGTCGAAGGGCAGGGAAAGGAAGCGACAGGTGAACAGTTACAGAGTACCGACTCTGCGGCATGCACTCTGTCCCCTGCACTCCACGAACCCCACCAGACCTGGGCCACACCCTGGGCCTTGCCCTATTCGGGCTTTACTTGTTGCCAATCTTCTTTTACCTGCACCTCTGCTTTCCTCCTAATTCTATCTAAGATTCTAGCTGCCCCCTGTTACTAGGAATGAATAATTAACTAAACAATGTGGTCTAGCTGACAGAACAATGTCATAGAAAGTGGGCTTAAATACTCCATTCATTTAGAAAATATTTATTTGGTACCTAATGTGCATTGGGCATTAGGCTGAGAACGAGTCAGACAAGGTCCCTACTCACAAAGCTTACGTTCTAGTGAGAGGGAGAAAGACAATGTAAGATGACAGTACGTTCAATCAAAGACATTAAGGTGAGAGATTACACAGTGATGAAGTGGTTTGGGGAAGCTTTTCTGTTGATAAAAGCCCATCAGATAAAGACCACTAGGAATAGTCTCTATAATCAGAGTTAGGTTTATTAATTTGTTGGAGTACACCATGAAAAATTAAGGGAACTTGCAGGGTGGGGACTTTCAGTAAGAGGGTGGGGGGAGGGCTTTTTCTAGGGTTGGCTTATCCTGAATGGTTCTGAGGATCTGAATGGATGCTGTCATGAAGAGGGCACAGTTCAGTAAGTGAGTGATTGAGCAATTTTTATTCAAAAGGTAACTAGAACAAAGTGAGGCTGGGTAAGTAATTGATAGGTAAGCATCATCAGTTAGAAAGAGGTCTTAGTCTTTTTGCAGGTACACTTTGGCCCTGGGAGGAACATTGTTTTCTGCTAATCTGGCTGCTCACCTTAACTGTGCCTGTTACAGTCTGCATTGTACTTTCTCAGTCCTGGGCTGATTTTTACTTTCTCAATGCAGAGGAGTTTTAGACCGACACCCGATTGATGAGAGGGAGCCAGCCCTGCTAAGATCTGGGGTAAGAGCGTTCTGGGTTCAAGGACAAGCAAATGCAAAGGCCTTGAAGCAGGAATAAACTTGGCTCTTGGAGAGGTAGAAGGAGGGCCAGTGTGGCTGGAGGACAGTGGTATGAGATATCCTTAGAGAAGCAGGTGTGGGGTCGGGACTGGACTGGATAAGATGACTGGTTGCATCTAGAAATCAGTTGGAGGTAGGCTGCTACAGGCCTCCAGGTGACACTTGGTGATGATTCTCTAAGGTCCAGCTCTAATACTGAAAAGAACACTGGATTCTGATCAAAGGTATGTATGCGCTCCAGCCCTTGCGCTGCTACTGAGGAGCATGGGATCTTGGGAAAGAAATTTTTAAAATGCCTTTATTGAGATATAATTCAGACACCATACAATTCATACAATTCACTTACTGAAAGAGTACAATGCACTGGGTTTTAGTATATTCACAGAGTTGTGCAACCATCACCACCATCAATTTTAGAGCATTTCAATCACCCCAAAGAAAGCCCATACCATTTAGCAGTCACTCTCTATTTTGCTTAGTCCTTCCAACCCTTCCCTCCCTGCCAGCCCTAAGCAACCACCAATCTACTTTCTGTATGGACTCTATGGCAAATTTCTTTTTTTTTTTCAATTTTATTTATTTGAGAGCGAGCAAGCGAGCGAGCACGAGTGTGGGGGAGGGGCAGAGAGAGAGGGAGAAGCAGATTCCCCGCTTGAGCAGGGAGCCCGATGCAGGGCTCGATCCCAGGACACTGGGATCAGTCATGACCTGAGCCGAAGGCAGACGCTTAACTGACTGAGCCACCCAGGTGCCCCACTGTGGCAAATTTCTTATTCTCTCTGTGCCTCAGTTTTCTTTTCTACAAAATGGGGACGACATCATACTATAAGTCCTAGGGTAGTTGACAGGATAAGCGAAAACCGAGGGCCATCGCTGTGGTTCGACGAAGGGCCTGACATAAGGCTCAACCCCTTCCTTAGGGAGGCCGCCGGCCGGTCCCTAAACGCGGCCGATTTTAATCCCACGCCCCCGTGCGACACGCCCCTGTCGTGTCTCCAGGGCAACGTCAAACAGTTTCTTAGAGATTCCTTTCCGGGGCGCAGACCTAATTCCTCTCCTTCTCGTTCTCTCCTCACCTGACGGCTCCACTGAGCGCCGCCCTGGGCTCCCGGAGGCCTCCCAATGGTCATCTTCTCCGCGAGGCAGAGACGGAGGCGGCGGTCACAGCGGCGGGCTACGAGCTGGCTGCGGTGGCGGTACTAGCTACGCGATCAGGTTCCGCCCCTTTCTAGCTTTGGCCTGTGATTGGCTCCCAGGCGGATGCCTGACCCAGTCCGCCTTCCCAGGGAGCCTCTAATCTTTCCCGCCCAAGTTGGCAAGAATTGTTTTCTGATTGGCCTAGTCTTTGAGTGTTCTATTTCCGGCTCTGAGGCCGGGGCGGAAGCAGCTAGTGATTGGAGAGCTCTGCTTCCGCAGTGCAGCAAAAGGAGGGCCTAGCAGCGCGCCAAGTACGTTGCGGGTCAGCACCATGGCGGCCCGGCTGGCTGTGAGCCGGTGGAGGGCTGCACCTGCAGCTGCTGGGAAAGGCCCGCTGCTCTCCTGCCGGAGGTGGTCGGGCGCCAAGGCCGACACGGTGTACGATGTGGTGGTGTCGGGCGGAGGCCTGGTGGGTGCCGCCATGGCCTGTGCCTTGGGTAAGCGCATCTCCAGGCAGGTAGTGGCGGGGAGTGGGGCCGTGGAGGAACTGTGAGGACCGTGGAGGAACTGTGAGGACCGTGGGAGCCCTGAGCTCCTGTGGTCTTTCCCCCGCCCAGAGGAGCCCCGCTGCAAGCGTTTGGTCCTTCAGGGTTCCGAAGGGTCAAAAGTGGGAGGGTCCTTAGGAGTCATTCTGAATCCCGCCCCTTGTTATTCAGGAATGGGCACAGTTGGAAGTAATTAAGGCATTGTATCGGGCTAGGCGTTTTGTTTCTTTCTAAAAACAGCTCCTTTGAGATACAATTGCATATCAGAAGGTTCACGCATTTAAGCATACAGTTTAATGGTTTTTTAGTATATTAACAGGTTGTGCGTCCATCACCACCATAAATTTTAGAACATTTTTATCACCCCCAAAAGAAACGAACCAATTAGTAGTCATTGCCCATTTCCCCACAAAGCTCCTCAGCCCTAGGCAACCACTCGTGAACTTTTTGTCTCTATAGATTAGCTTTTTCCTGACATTTTCATATACTTGGATTCTGCTTGTTTTAAAGTTTCGTCCAGGTTGTAGCATGCGCCAGTACTTTTTATGGTTGAGTAATTCTGCACTGTGTGTACTACACTTGGTTTATGCATTTATTAGTTGATGGACGTTTGGGTTTCCTCTTCTGGACTGTTTCGAATAATGCTGTTATTTTGGGTACAGGCTTTTGTGTAAACATATATTTTGGTTACTTGGATATATCCATTTCTAGGAGTGGAATTGCTCGATCACATACATGGTAACTCTGTGTTTGTTTTGAAGAACTGCCAAATGGTATTCCAAGGTGGCTGCACCATTTTACATTCCCACCAGCAATATATGAGGGGTCCAGTTTCTCCACATCCTGGACAGCAGTTGCTGTTGTATTTTTGTTTATAGTCATCCCAGTGCGAGTGAAGTGGTATCTCCTGGTTTGATTTGAATTTCCCTAATGACTAATGTTGAATATCCTTTCATACGCTTATTTGTATATCTTTGAAGAAGTGCCTATTCAGACCGTTTGCCCATTTTATTTTGTTTTAAAGTAATTTCTGCGCCCAATGTGGGGTTCGAACTAAGGAGCCCACCATCAAGAGTCTCATGCTCTGTCCACTGAGCCAGCCAGACACCACTCTTTGCCCATTTTGGGCAATTTGTCTTTTTATTATTGAGTTCTAAGAGTTGTTTTTGTTTGTTTAATCTGGGCACAGGTCCTTTAAGAGCTAAGTGATTTGCAAATATTTTCTCTCATTTTATGGGTTGCCTTTTCATTTTCTTGATGGTGTCCTTTGAAGCACAGAAGTTTTTAATTTTGATAAAATTCAACTTGTCAAGTTTTTACCGCTTATACTTTTGGTGTCATACCTAAGAAATCATTGGCTAACCCAAACTCATGAAGATTCACTCTTGTGTTCTAAGAGTTTTGTAGTTTTAGCTCTTAGATTTAAGTCTGTGATCTACTTTGAGTTAAACTGTGTGTGTAAAGTGAGGTAAGGACTTTGCTTTTACATGTATAGTTTAGGCTGGTTCACTTCACTGTGATGTAGATACTGTTTTCATATTTTATGTGAGAAAATTGCTTAGCAAGGTTTAGTAAGGACCAGAGTCTTAACAGCCAACTGGTAGTAGACTCAGAACTTGAACCTCAGGCCACCAAACTCTAGATTTTTTGCCCCCCCCTTTTTATAAAAGATTTATTGATCTGAGAGAGCGTGCACATGCATGGGGGGGGGCAGGTGTTGGGAGAGAAGAGGACGAGGGGGAAAAGGAGACTCCATACTGAACGCGGAGCCTGATGTGGAGTTGGATTCCAGGACCCTGCGATCATGACCTGAGCCAAAATCAAGAGCCGGACGCTCAACAAACTGAGCCACCCAGGCACCTCCAGATCTTTTGCTTTTAACAATTGTATAGTGACTTGCAGAAATTGGATCTGAGTTTTCTGGCCTCACAAATTAAAGATCACTAATGTAAAAGTCTTCGTTGACTTAAGAATAAGGTGTGACAGCCACATCTTCCCTAGGGTGGCTCCTCTTTTGGGATACTGGTGGGAAACAAAGCTTTGTATGAACTAATCGGCTTGAATCTCAAAGTAATTATAAAAAACGTAGTCATCAGTT